AACGTTGAAAAAAAAATTAAAAAAAAATAATAAAAAAATAAAAGAAAAAAAGAAGCTAATTACAGTATGCTTGTCCTCTGCCACAGAACCTTTTAAATGCTATGAAATAAAATAAAATGAATATGAAAGACAGCCTTTTAAGTAGGGAAGTTAAAAGGCAATATGCATCTGAGAGGTACATATGGAAATGGAGAAGAATTTTGCTCAGGTTAAAAAACAATAATAATAAAATAAACACAGGATTGAAGGGGAATTAGGAACCAATTACACATGTCTATGTGGACCAGATCTTTTTTTTTTTAGCAATTTTCTGTGCATCTCCACACATATGTCAACATTACAGAAACCATCAAGAGGCCAAGGACACTTAACAATTGTTCTTTGTGCTAGGGATAGTTATGTGTCTAGGATGTTGAAACATATTTATGGACTTAACAGGACATGTTTGTGTTTAAAATGTATTCAAAAGGACCACTACAGAAAAGCCAATCGCTTTTGGTGAATGGACTCTTTCCTACGGGAATAAACAATGGGACTGGCCAGTTTTCCTCAAATTATATTTCAACAATACCTGCATCAAGACAACTAGGGATGATTCTCTAAAATGCAGGTAGCAGGACACCCTCCAGACCTAGCAAATCAGAAGTTCTGGTGATCTGAACTTTGATAAACTTCCTGAGTAATCTGTTACATATGTTCAGGCTTTTGAACCTTTGGTCACCTGGAAGGACAGCAAAACAAAACAAAACAAAACAAAACAAAACTGGTTGACTTAAGAAGAGAAGTGGGAAGACTTTTTCACTGTAAATTCCTTTGTGCCTTTTGAATTCTTAATTTTTCACAAACAACACTTAACAATAATGAGCATGATATTTATATTTACACACCCAGAACCAGGCAGAGCATCTGGTAGTAGGATAAGAAAAATGTGGATGTAGTCATAAATGGCATAGTTTATAATAAATATTATAAGTAACACATTTTTTACCCCCCTATTTCCTCTCCTCTCCCCCTGACCTTCTCAAAAGAAACACTGCATTGCCAACTGCCTTTGCACAGGGACCAATGTTTTGCTCCTTATTCGTCTTGGTAGTGATTCATGTATCTCCAATACCTGGCTGGAACTTACTAGATTCACATGGCTGAGGCTGTAAAGTGTAGATAAAGCCTCCCCCATTTTTCTCTTAGCCACGCTTTTACAAATGAGATCTGTTTTCTCTCTCATAAATACCAGTGTATATGATATTTGGCATTTACCTTTTGCCTTTTACAGAAAAATCATCATAGTAAGTACGTTGTTATAGATGTCTGTGTCTATCAGGCTAGAAAGAGTTGTTTTCATCTGTTAGATAAATTTTGGACCTTTGGCAGAGTTTCTAATAAGTTGAGTTTTAAGCAGCTAATTAGTCTTTTTGGTAACAACTAATTACTTATAATATGCATGTAGCAAAAACTGTTGTAGAAATGTAATTGTAACTTCTTTGACATTTTCTTTCTTATTGTATCTTGCATGTATAATAAAGATAACTTATTTTGATACATTTATCCTTTTTAAAAAGGCAAACAAATAAAGCCTTAGTTCTGAAGCACTCTTAAAGTTATAAAGGCATCCTCTTTAGGGAAAGACTAATGTCTATTTTCCCTGAACTGGTAACCCTTTCAAGCTTCGTGTCTTTCTATTCCATGCAGAAACAGTTGCCAAGAAATAAAGTGACATTATAGTTGTCTTTGGTCAGAACAGGAATAAGAAAGAAATACTGTCTGTATAGCAAGCTAATTATTTTACCAAAACAGTGTCACTATATGTCCGTTCTCACTAGCCCTGTTGTTTGTTGTGCATACCTTCCTAAGTAAAAATTACTAAAGACAACTTGGAGAGGTTACATGTGCAGCAAGAGATATAGAATATTCCATGTATAGAGAGAGCATTGTAATTCACATACACGCCAAAAAAAAAAAAAGTTTAAAAAGAAATTATTTTATGTCCTGACCAATTATGTTCCCTTTATGGCCTTCTATTTCTTAGAAGAACAAAACAAACCCCAGGCTTGAGTCCAAAGTCTAAATGAGTCGTGAGGTAACACACATTACAAAACCATCACTTTGAAACAGTCGTTTGGCTTATGGTGCACTTTGCATTATGGTAAAGTAGATATACAAAAATAGAATTGAAAACCTGAGGAAGGTTGCATGACTGGTGGCTAAGTGTTTTTTTTTTTTTTTTTACAGGATTAAGTTCAACACCTTATAAGCATTACCTTAATTCTTGCCAACTTTCAGGAAAAGCAATGTCATTAACTAGTTCATAACTCATTCTGAAATGCCTCTGTTTTTACCAGAAAGAGTAGCATTTTTTTTCTGGGACACCTGGGTGTTCAGTTGGTTGAGTGTCTGACTTCAGCTCAGGTCATGGTCTCATGGTTGGTGGGTTCAAGTCCCACGTCGGGCTCTGTGCTGACAGCTCAGAGTCTGGAGCCTGCTTCAGATTCTGTGTCTCCCTCGTTCTCTGCCCCTCCCCCACACATGTTTTCTTCCCCCCCCCCCCCCGCGCTCTCTCTCTCTCAAAAATAAATAAACATTAAAAAAAAAAGAGAGAGAGAAAGAGTAGCATTTTTTTTACCTTCTATACTCATATAGGTAAAAACAATGACACTCTGCTTTAAATGTCACAGAATAAAATGTTTCCTGGGTTGTAAAGTAAATTCAAATGGAGGTCGAATGTATTGGTACCACAAATTCACACAACATCTCCATATTTCCCATTTTATGCCCACTGCAAATGTTATTCAAGTGAAATATAGACACATAGATACATTGATAAATCTCTCATAAATAAAGCAAAAATTTGAACTAGTGGCTGAGTTAATATATATATGTATATTATATGGTATTAAAATTTTTCCTTTAATAGACAACTTGAAGTATCATTTTGCTATTGTTGTTGAGCTATACTGAAAAAATGTAGTTTTAATATGAATGATGAGAAACTGCCTCTAACAAACATTAGAAAAGAACTTACACATGTAAGCATGATTTTCTTAAGTCTCTCAACAACTGACTTTTGATACATTTTGGAGAAAAGGAAGGGAAACAAAAGTCATAGAATTGAAGCTACTATAAAAATAACCAGAAGGTTAAATTTTAAAAGTCTCATTTTTCAGAAATACCCAAAATGGTAATAAAAGTCTTACTTATTAATTTCATGACTGCATCAGTCTGCTGGTAGCTATTTAAAGTTACCCTCAAAGTATTTTGTTTGTGAAAGTTCTAAGATTTAATATATGTTCAGGCAGAGTGAATAGAAATACAATTAAATATCCTTGATCACAGTTGAAGCTTTTCATATGAAAGCCAGCAGGACTTATTCTATAGAATAAAGGATATCAATGTTTCCTCTTATTCATAGTTGTAAGTAATTAGATTTTTTTCTAATTCATTGTATCCAGTTTTAATATAACCATTCCCTCATCTCTGCTACTTTACCTCAATAAATTTTCTTGAATATTTCTTTCAGTCTCTAATGAATGAACCCATTATATTCATTATTATGATGATTATAATAACTATTATTACTGTTCATTCACATGACATTATATATTTTAGGAAAGTACTATTATCACATGAATTATTTTTATGATCTTTTTTATAGCAGCATAAATGAGACAATGGTTTCTTTGCCATTGAAAATCTCATACAGAATTATTTCCGTTTGTCAACACTTCACCAACAAAAACTATTTGTATTCACTTGAAACAGTGGCTTTTAAAAAGCCCATTCTGCTTGGAATGGAATACTACGTGGCAATGAGAAAAAATGAAATATGGCCTTTTGTAGCAATGTGGATGGAACTGGAGAGTGTGATGCTAAGTGAAATAAGCCATACAGAGAAAGACAGATACCATATGGTTTCACTCTTATGTGGATCCTGAGAAACTTAACAGGAACCCATGGGGGAGGGGAAGGAAAAAAAAAAAAAAAGAGGTTAGAGTGGGAGAGAGCCAAAGCATAAGAGACTGTTGAGAACTGAGAACAAACTGAGGGTTGATGGGGGGTGGGAGGGAGGAGAGGGTGGGTGATGGGTATTGAGGAGGGCACCTTTTGGGATGAGCACTGGGTGTTGTATGGAAACCAATTTGACAATAAATTTCATATATAAATAAAAATAAATAAATAAATAAATAAATAAATAAATAAATAAATAAAAAGCCCATTCTGCATTCCAGACCAATTTAATCAAACCTACAGAATTTACATTTATTTTATTATAAAGAAAACACTGTGATTTTGTTTTCAATGCATGGATTCAATCTAGGTCAGCTGCTTCCATAGGAAGAGTTGATTTTATCTAGCCAAACATTGAAAATTTGTCTTACAGGAGGTATTTGATGCTGGAAATAGTACACTCACTGAATATGGAAAAGGGTTTGACAGTGTTATTGATGGAAAATAGTTAAGACTTATTTTAGTAAAAATTTAGTCCCTAGTCCTCTGGAATTATGGCCTTTAATAAATACAAATCAGAGGATATTCACTTAATGCTAATACTGGTGATACATTGATTATTTATATTCTTTAACTTGAAGTACTACATTAAAAGCCAAATTAAGTAGACTCAAATTATAAAATCCCAACCTCCAGAGATTCTGCTGCCGCAAAGTATGAATAGGTCGCATAACATGAAGCCATTATGTGTGAGCATCTAGGACATTATTCAGCATCCAACTAATTGCACCAACATGGATATATGGCAGTTGGACTCGTTTTTTATTATGAAATATGTTAAAACCTCAGAAAAAAAAATGGTCACGTCTTACTAATAACACATCTTCTAATATGCATTAATATAATGAGAGCATCTGGGATATGTCCACAGTTCCAAAACATGTCATGAATTTAAACCCTGTGCAAAGACCACTTAAAAACTAGCATTGCTATGATTGCACTTCCCCCTAGGGTTGAAATAACTTGTGTTTACACTGAAGTTCATTTGCCTTTTTCAGATCAGCATTTTCATGACACATCTGTCCAATTATGGGAATGACCGGCTGGGACTATATACCTTTGTTAATCTGGCCAACTTCATGCAGACCTGGACGAACCTGCGACTTCAGACTCTGCCTCCAGCGCAGCTGGCTCACAAGTATTTTGAGCTCTTTCCCGATCAAAAAGACCCTCTCTGGCAGGTAATATTTGTTCAATAATTAGTATAATTAAGTAATTCCATAAACATATTTTATATAATCCTATCTGAAAAGTGAAGGCATCTGGGGTGGAGAGGGGGCTACATTTTTGAAATATTGGTAGACTTGAGAAACTATTTCCTCCTGAATTGCAGGTTTGTATTATTGCTTCGTAGTGGGCCAAATTCTCTGTTCCTATGCCCATTAGAAATTATGAAATTCTACAAGCTCAGTGGGGGGTTCAATGGATGTCATGTTTTCAGTCAAGAGAGGGGGAACAATTTGCAGACTGCAATAGGCTGAAAAGAGGAGAAGAATGGTAAGTAGGTTGTATGCTAAGCAAGTAGCCAGCTAGTCCTCCTAGATCACATCTTATATCTCTAATGACTAAATAACATCAGAGGGATAGGGGAGAAGAGTTCAGAACTGACGTCTGCTTTCTGAACCACGGGGTACACCAGCAGCTGGAGAATATGGGCAGCCTTCAAAAGTATTAGTTGGGAATTACTTTGGATATGGGAAAAGTGTTTGGTGGCAAAATTACTGAGCTTTTTAGAAAAAAATATCACACACACATGGCATATGCAAACTGTTCTAGGCATAACCCAGATTTCAAAGCATACATTCTCATGTGTCCCAGAATTGCAGAAACATAATTTGAACTTAAACTGCCTACTCCGTACTCTGGGGAAAGTAATAATCATGGCAAATAATTATTTTGTGCTTATTATGTGTCACATCGGGTTCTTTATATGTTAACTCATTTAATCCTTAAACTACCCTGTGTGGTAGGTATAGTTATGATCCCCATTTTATAGATGAAGAAACTGAGGCAGGCAAATGCTAAGACACCTTTACAAGGCCACTGTGTGACAGAGTGAGAATCAGTTCCAGGCCATCCAGCTCCAGAGGCTGTGCTCTTAAGTACTGTTCTAAACGAGAGTTACTGAGCTACTAGAGAGTTGCTAATAGAGCTGATGGTACAGTAATAACAATCATCAGAAGGAGAAGGTTGCAGCAAGATCTGAACTACATACTCAATGCATTCAGCTTGGAACATGAGCTAATTGCCACCTGAACACAAACAGGTAACTCCAAGAAGAGACATAACTACACATTTCAGTATGTGAAAGTCAGTGGTTGTGGAATTATCACTATATAGTACTTTGCAGTTACTATAATGCACATCTTTCTTCCTTAACCACTGCATAATATCACCAAATGTTAGCCACTGGAAAGACATGCAATTTTCCTGCTGATTTAACACCTTATTTTTAAACTGAAATCATTATTATTTCAGGTGACAGGTTTGAAACAACTTTTTTTTAACAGCAGCCAAAAAGAATACCCTCTACTTTAGTCATACCATCTGTTGCTTATTGTAAATAAGCAGAAAGTTCCTTTAACTGCACATATCTGTAGTATTAATTGCATAGAAGTGCTGTCCTGATTGCCTATATCTGAAGTAGTATTAAAGGGAACTTTTAAGTCTTCACATAATGAGCACTTTGCAGTGGAAATTAAGGATGTTCTAGATACATCTTGCATGGTGGGTTTAGTTTATGTATTATACACCAAAAGCAGATCCCTAAGATAGTATTTCACCTTCATTTTACCCTTTTGCTGAAATTTAGTGCTTTTTAGAATCATATTCTGCAAAGTTATAGTAATACATATCTGAAAGGAATCTGCTGTCTCTTTAAATAGTATCATTATGGCCTGATCTGTATCTCTTTGAAGCACAGCAAAACAGCTCAAAGTTATTTAGAATAAAAATCTTACACATTGTATTTCAATTACTTATGGAATGCTTAGAGTGTATCTTCTTTTAGGTTAGCAGGAAGCACAGTCCCTGCCCCACACTACATTGGAGCTCACTATTTTAAAACACACACATGTACACACACACACACACACACACACACACACACACACACACAATTAAGATGTAGAACGGCCAAAAGCAGAAAAAATACTAAATCCTCAGTGCTATGAGGCTGTCTCCCCTCCCCCCAACGCCTCAGTAGACACTCAACTTCAGGATGGAAGGGTTGGATGGAAAGGGTTCAGGATGGAAAGGGTTACTTGAAAGCTTCCATGATGCCACTTCAAAGCTTTCATTTAAAAGAAGTCGCATAGCTTTGCTTCCTGGAATATCTTTTCAAGGACAGAAGTTGAAAAACTCTAGCAAAGTGGCCACTTATCAAAAAATACATCTCTGTATTCTTCTCCCATTTAGAATCCTTGTGATGACAAACGCCACAGAGACATTTGGTCTAAAGAAAAAACCTGTGATCGTTTACCAAAATTCTTGGTAATAGGACCCCAGAAAACTGGTGAGAGCTTTTTGTTATGATTAACCAAACAGTATAAAATTCCTGATGACTAGACAGTGAGTTCTTGTCATAAAGAGTTTTCAAAATTCCTATATATACTGATGGATGAATAACACATTGGTTCTCTGACATAATGTTTGTTTAGCTTGATAATGTCTTTAAATGCTTGTCAAGGAATTTTTTAAAGTGAAAAAGATGAAAATAAATGTCACACTGTTTGAATATCCAACAATTTGGTAGCAAATATTCCTTTTTTGCCAAAGACCTTAATTGAAAAATGTTAACATTTTTAAATGTTTAACATGTTTAAAAAGCGACTGACAGGATTTCATCAAAAGTCGAGATAAACACATATAAGTATCGATAACTCTTTATAATAAATCCCTTCCAGAAAAACAGCCTCTTCCTGCCATCTTCCTGATATAGTTTATCTCTAAACTATTTCTTGCAGAGATGAGTGTTTTCTAAAAATCTAAAGGATGTTTAACAAGCAGAATTCCAGACATAAACAAAACTTTGTGCTAACAAAGGCATTTACTCATACCCAGGAGAAATCTTAAATTGGCATGCAATTTTTGTGCCTTTTCTTAAATTGGCATGCAATTTTTTCTCCCCATAAACTTCTTGTTTCTTTAAGAATCAGTATTAAAATGAAGCCCAGTGGAAGCTTTAAAATGCCAAATATCCATGCTCTTTCCTGCATGATAAATTATTTGGGGCTCTCGGATTCTGGCTTCACAGAAAACAGCCATTTCAACCATATCCCTTTCTAAGGGGAATACCTTCCGTCTCCTCATTTCTCTAAAAATAACTGGAGAAAATTTTATGTAATGTACACAGAGAGGTTAGCCTATTCATTTTCTCTTAGTCCCATTTGCCAATATCAATCTGAAAAAAATAATAAATATGATAAATACTTTTCTTGTCCTTGTTTATTTCATTTGGCCTTATGTATTTTAAAGTCAAGAGGCAGCTAGAAAAATATCTAAAGTAAAGTCTTTTCAGCGAACTCCCACTGTCATTACTGATCATGTCTCTCTGAAGCGTGGCATATCGAGTTCGCTCCAGAAAGCCCTGCAGGAAGGGCTGCCTCTTGTTTCATGCTAGATGTGCAGACATTTAAAAATCATGGTCAGATGGAAGAATCAGTACTTGCCATCTTAAACTCAGTTGTGTTTCCAAATGTTTATGTTACAAATATATATGACATTTACCTTTGGAAGAAAATTTTTTATCTCTTTTCATGGAAACTAATTTTTTTCCCAGTTCTGTAGTGGTATAATTTACATGCATTAAAAGTCACCAATTTTAAATGAAAATTCTGATGAATTTTGACAATTGTACACAGTTGTGTAACCACCACAACATTCTGTCTCAAAAACAAAACCAAAAAAACCCCACTTCTGTCTCCCTAAAAAGTTTCTCCACCCATGTGCCTTTGCAGTCAATGCCCCTCCCCCATCCTCAGTCACAGGAAACTACTTTCTGGTACCATAGTTTTGCTTTTCTAGAATTTCATATAAATGGAAGAGTAAAATGTGCAGTCTTGTGCATTTGACTTCTTTCACTTAAGATAATGCTTTTGAGATTCATCCATGTTACTATGTATATCAATATTTTGTGAAGTTGATTTTTTAAAAGGATAAACATATCTTCTCATCAGTTACATAAAAATTAAATAGCTTCATTTTAACTTTAGTTTCATCAGAAGCATTTTTCTGAATAATTTTGCATAGATGTATATTCTTACACATATTCAAATATTTTTAGTGTTGAAACTGACAAAAAATAAAACTGAAGCTTTATGGATGGTTATTTGAATGTGTGTGTCTATGATTAGGTGGTTGTTTTACATACATACACACATTAAACACATTCAAACACACACACATAGGACAGTTTATTCAGACCCAAGAATAAGTGTAGGTAAAGACAGAGTTCAGAAACCGCAATCTAACAATTTTCTGACCACTGATAAATTATATTATACCTTTTACTGACTATGCAAACAATTACATGTCTGTTTTTTCAGTTTGTCTTATTAATGCTGGTCATGCTATTAAAAGCAAACAATATGATTGAATACAATTCTTAAAAATAAAATTCAGAAAAGAATGCTTTCAGTTGATCTAAGAAAGGAACTAATTCTCTTTTCTTTTTTCACATTATAATGGTCATACTTCCTATCCTCACAAAGACTTTTTTTTCAATTTTTAAATGCATTATTGAATTTTTATCTCATAAAAGCTGTTATTTTAAAAAATACTTTACTAATATTGAGATATGAAGCTATTTAGGTACTTTTATACAGATTGTCTTACTTGACCCTCATAAAACCCTGATAGCTAAGTATTTTTCCCCCACTACACAGATAAGAAAACTAAGTCTCAGCTTAGATATTTTTGTTCACATTCACACAACTGATAAGTGTTAGAAATAAAATCCTGATCCTAGAATTTACCTGACTCTAAACACCATGTTCAAGAAAGCTTTACTCTACTACGGATTTCAAGTAATGGAACATTTTTCCCCCAAATAAGTTTTAGATTTTGTTACACATTTCTTTTAAGTTGTGGTTTTCAAAGTGTACTGAATCAGAACCTCTGGTATAGGGTTCGATTCTCTGTGTTTTAACAAGACCTCCAGGTTAGTCTAAGGCATGCTAAAGTGTGAGAACCACTGTTTTAGGTCAAGCTTGTGAGGAGCATTTTTATTTTGTATATCATAGATTACTATGTTCATTCCTCACAGGTACCCATGGGTATAGATAAAATGTTCATAGTTTGGCTAAGATATAATCTAGAAACACTGCCTCTTTCAATTCATTGTTTTAGACAATTTTGCTATTGACAGAGTTATTTTAACAAATTTTCTGTTGTGTTGATATACTAGATTTAAGTACAATATTAAATAGAGCTTGTCAGAGAGATAAGAAAATTCAAAATTTAATACAGACGGCAACATGACATTATTACTAAGCAAAATCAGAAAGTAATTTCTCCAAGTGAGAGAAATGTTATAAGGCCATGTCTGAAGACCATTGCTAGCTATTATTGACTTAGAGTATAATTCATAGGCCCCGCCCCATCAGATTGTATAATGATATAAACCACATTAGAGCAGAGAAGTGGAAACTAGAGCCTTAAGAAGACTGAATACATGGACCAGAAAGATTTTAATAGTATGATTTTATAAACACAATTACAATTACAGCAAGCATGTGGTTAAATTTTAGGCAAACTGAACTCAGATTGTCTTTTTCTTGTAGCAACCTAATCTGTACCCTTTAGCTCATAATTTAGGCTCTAAAACACTAATTTTACAGTCTATGACATTGCTCATTTTGGAAAAAAAAATCATACTCTTGATCCCCAATAGTCACAGATCCATATGGGCACTTGTGATATGCCATTCTCTTTCCAAATTGCAAATTTTATGTTATATCACTAAGAAAGGACACAATTTTTTTTCAAAAATAGGTTTTTTGGAACGTGTTGAAAGTTTAAATTGTGTCTCAAATTTAATCAGCTTTCATAGGCCTTAGGAAGAACTTATAGGAGAACTCAGCTACATGATTTTAGTGATGTAATTAATATCTTCTATTAAATAATGATGTCTTTCATTCATATAATAATACCAAAATATCTTCAGGTTCAATATATCTTTTCATCCTCAGAGAAAGTCTATGAAATAAGCAAGGCAGGTGACTTCCCACCAAAAAAGCCAAGCTAAAAGCCAAGTCACAGACCAAATCAGTGATTGAGATGAGGTCAAAAACCAGTTCTCCTAGTCCCTGCAGCAAGCCTTTTCTCACATCACACTTAACTCCATTTTTCCAATATGCTTCTTTTAAAATGCTGATTATCTATTCAGTTTAATTCAAGGAGTACTAATATGTATCTGTTTGGATCATTACAATACTTAGTATATTAATGACTTTGAAATGCTAATAGTAGGAATCTGTTTGCATTTAATTAATTTCTAAACCTCTATTGTCTTTTCAGGAACCACTGCTTTGTATTTGTTCCTGGTTATGCATCCTTCCATCTTTAGTAACTCCCCCAGCCCAAAAACCTTTGAGGAGGTACAGTTCTTTAATAGAAATAACTACCACAGGGGGATTGATTGGTAAGATGGGTTATTAGTATAAATCTAAAAGTATATATACTATGCACAGTATAAAAATTAGTGCTAATATTTATAAACATAGAAGCTTGTAGCCACAAATAAAAGTTATCCTCTGTACCTTGGAAATGGAGTCAATAAAATGAAGAAGCACAGAAATTATTCATAAGAAATTTTTCTCAGTTTGTTATGGGACTCATTGCTTCAAGAGGCCCACATGTAATCTGAATTTGCATTAATTATCTTTGACGGTTATTACAGATACGAAGTTAGAGAAATACTGTAACACCCAAAAATTTCATTCCTCTCTCTTCTTTTTTTTTTTTTTAAATTTTTTTTTCAACATTTATTTATTTTGGGGACAGAGAGAGACAGAGCATGAACGGGGGAGGGGCAGAGAGAGAGGGAGACACAGAATCGGAAACAGGCTCCAGGCTCTGAGCCATCAGCCCAGAGCCCGACGCGGGGCTCGAACTCACAGACCGCGAGATCGTGACCTGGCTGAAGTCGGAGGCTTAACCGACTGCGCCACCCAGGCGCCCCTCCTCTCTCTTCTTAAAACACTTTCATAGCTTTCTCTTCCTGTGCACTTTGCATTAAAGTGATGCTACAGTCCCTCTATATATTTTTTTATTTTGCTTTGGCATTTTAGGTTAAAAAAATAAATAGAACTACAAATTTGTGTATATTTCATGAATAATGAAATAAATGAAATAAGTGAAATAAAGCTATCAGCAATATTTAATTTTTGGTCTTGAATTGAAATAAGAACTATATCAACCATGCAAGGAAAATAGTTAAATTAAAAATAAAAGTTAAAATGTCAAATAACATACAAAATAATATAGTAGGAGTATATGTTGCAAATTAACATGTTAATCACAAAATATATCTGCAAGTCTTGCTGTTAAGGTAGAAATAAATTCTAGGCAGATATGAAAGAATGGAATTTTTATAATAACTCTAGGGCATGAGCATAAACATTTTGCATGTATTTTAGCATAAAGCGTTGTTATATATTAACTTCTGTTGTCAAATTGCATGATCTCAATTTTATAAGTATCACCCCCCCCCCCAAGAGTTGCTTGTGTGTGGTCCAAATGGAAAGAAAAGAAATGAGTTGAGGATAATTTGAGCACCTACTAGGAATTACATATATTGTAACTGCAATATATTTCACTGCCAACTCTTCAAACAGGGCTTGATATTGATTAATTGTATGGTGTTAAATAACAACTGTGAGAACCAAGAAAGCATCAACCACTTCAGCTGCTATTTGACCACTGACTCAAATATATATGCCTGTGTACAGTAGAATAAAAATATGTTAACATTAGGACTAAAGGGAGTGATTAAAAGCTGCTTTAAAAGTGTGTGGGGGGGGTGGGGGGTGGGCGCGCCTGCATGGCTCAGTCGGTAAAGCGTCCGACTCTTGATCTCAGCTCAGGTCTTGATCCCAGGGTGGTGAGCTCAAGCCCCACACTGGGCTCCACTCTGGGTGTGAGGCCTACTTTAAAAAAAGAAAAAAGTGGAGAGGAATGCAATACTTGAACTCCCTGGGATTTAAGAATATCTCTAAGAATAGGGGTGCCTGGGTGGCTGAGTCAGTTAAGCGTCTGACTCTTAGTTGAGGCTCAGGTCATGATCTCACAGTTCGTGAGTTTCAGCCCCACATCTGGCTCCTCGCTGACAGTGCAGAGCCTGCTTGGGATTCTCTCTCTCCCTCTCTCTCTACCCCTCCCCTGCTCACGCTCTCTGTCTCTCTCTAAATAAATAAATAAATAAACTTAAAAAAAAGAATATCTGTAAGAATAATCAATTTTTAAAAAGTTGTTCAGAAGTCAGTAATGTATATAAGGCACTATAACAGGACAAAAAGTCCCTTAAGCAGTTTACAAAAAGATGACATAAATAAGTAGAAAGCTAATGATTTTAAGTGCAACTCACTAAAAACACCTCAATTGCAAACACTTTTGCATTGACAAATTATATGTTTATAAAAGACAACACAAATAACAAAAGTACCTGCAAATGTCAGTCTATTATCAGTAACTCTGGCTTTGCTGTCAATGATGTCAGATGTACTCATGGTCCTCAGGCTGGCCGTGTCTCTCTGTGAAGTGTCAGCACCTCCATAGTCCCTTTGGGACCACAGAGCCATAAAGTGGAAGAGTTTGATAGTAGGTCTCAGCATGCCAAAGTGGCTTACAGAATTAACACAGGCACAGTGAGTCTGGATCCATGGGAACTGCTTTTCCTAGAAAACTGGGGAAAACCAGGGCTGCCTTAACTGACAGGCAACCTAAACACAAGCTGAGGACAAAAGCAAAGTAGGGCAGATGAAAATGAGAACACTCCATCTTTGGTAAAATAGCCAACATTTACAATCAGGAGATCAAGAGAAATGTTTGATTCATACAGACACTTAAATTTTATATTCTGTGGTTTGGTATTATTTTTTATAATTACATGGGGATGAAGTGAAGGCTTGGACTGGTACTTGGGGAGCCCTAAAATCCTGTTAGCACTTAGAACTTCTAAATGTCTTGATCTAGCTGTGAGTTAAATCACTTAGAAATACTCACAGTCAACCCAAGTAACAAATAAATGTGGAATATTGCAAAAATCACATCTTTCAGTAAAAAAAAGATGGTGAGATATTATGAAAGTAGCCAAGCTTAAACGAGGCAGGCATACACTTTTAACTAGAGTGGTTTACACTCTAGTTTGCTCACCAGTTCTTTAGATAATCTGAATTCATATTCCCCAGATGTTACCTATTTGTACCCTGAAAATATGAAGCTGAATTCTTATTTACCTGTTCATCAGACATTTTACAAGTGCCTCTAAGTGCCAGCCACTACACTAGAAAAATGTGGGCATACTGGCAAACAAGAACTGGCCCCTGCTTTTTCCATGAGCCTCTGGGGCCAGGCAAAATCAATACATTATAGGTCCAAGATCCAGAACTGCGTGAAGAGGTTTTTAAGGTCTAAACTGTTATAGGTATAGAGAGGACTGCTGGGAAAGTGGGACCATTTTTAGAAACTAAAAGTTACTCAGAATTCAATACCTTCTGCCCTTCTTTTGTGATTTTCTGAGCCTTTCTCAGAATAAGCAAGGCTGAGACAAGCTTGGACCAAATAAGGTATCACTAGACACTTGGGATAACCTTAGCATCTCTGGAACCAGGGTGAGCATCTAACTTAAGAAATATCTTCAAATGTGGCACTTTCTACAAATAGACTATACACCAAAACAGCAGATCAAACTTTCCAGAAATTTTTATATATCCGTTTCCCCCTAAAAGGATGCCAGAATGACATATCACCAAGGCAATTTCCAGAAAACATAAAAGGATTTCTTTACTGCCCTGAGTTTCAAGACATCACTTTGTTGTATCAGCCAAACTTTGCAATATGTTAACAACTGGAATCCTACCAGAAGCTTTATCGTGTGAGATGACTAAAAGAAAACAATGTACTGCATAAAGAAGTCATCACAGAAATGCTAATGACTCTCTTGCTCAGTAACTACTGAACTACCCTATCTTGGTAGCCCAAAGTCATGATGTCTTATGAACTGAAGAGGGTGGGAGTGGAGGATGAAGCCATTATGATCAAATGTAAGAAACCCTAGAAGCTAAATTTGCACGTGCTCTCCAAAAAAGGCTCTTTTTCCTTTAAAAGTTGTCCCTTAGTCCCTCAGAAATATCTGTTACCACATGCTGAATTAGTTTATATCTGACAGCTTTTGTACAGATGAGACATTATACAAATTCTGTTTTGTCTTACATTTCTGTGCATAAGGCTTTAGCTATTCCTATGTTCATTCTGCTGGTGATTTACATTCTCACCCCACTTAAGGATATAGGACCTGACCTTGGGAAATTTGATAGGATTTTATATTTAGAAATATGTACATACTTTTTAAAATTTTATGAATATTCTAAAGAATATAAATGGCTCTAAATGGAAAAAATGTTAAGCAAATAGGCAATGTTTACACCAGATGTGTTCTGCACTTAAACATTTTATAGTTGAATGCAACCACAGCACCACATTAGTGAGAAGGAAATTATTTCACTTGTGATGAAGTTAAAAACATTTTGTCTAAGTCCTTTTAGAATGTCTTTGAACTGAACATATCATCTGTTTTGATCAAATTTTCCTTTTGGTTCAGCACTCACACATTTTTCTCTGTAAAGTATTTCTGCATTTAGATACATTTTATATAGTTAGGATGATTATTGTTCCAGTTTGATCATTCTGTGTCTACATTTTTGCTATCTCCCATACCTTTTTTTTTCGGATAGTAAGCAAAACAAAAAGAAAATGTATTTAGAAAAGCATTCTCAAAATACATTATTAGTGTTCTATACACTTTTCCCTTGCAAACTGTATAGAACAGATGCCTTATAGAAAAAGGCTTTTGTTTAGGAAACAAATGATTTGTGGGATACCTGTGACATCTACAGTCACCAGAGTATGAGTATAAACCAGTCTTATTTTGAGAAATATTTCTTTTCTAGGTATATGGATTTCTTCCCAGTCCCATCTAATGTCACCACTGACTTTCTGTTTGAAAAGAGTGCCAATTACTTCCACTCAGAGGAAGCTCCTAAAAGAGCAGCTTCTCTGGTCCCGAAAGCAAAGATCATTACCATCCTCATTGACCCCTCAGACCGAGCATATTCCTGGTATCAGGTAAGAAAAATACAGACAGAATCTAACAGGTAAGAAGGGGACTATGAAGAAGGGGAGATGGTTTGCAGCAATAGCAACCACCTCAGGTCTCAATAAAAGAGTAGATTTGCTAGTTTTATATCTGCACAAAAGTGGATAAAGTTTTCTTTGTTTCTGGAGATACTTTCTCAAGTTTTTTTTTTAATTTTGCACTAATTGAATAAGATATATTAATGAAGTGAAACTATAACAAAATATTATGTATTTGGATGTGCATATGTGCTTCTACACATCTGCATTTTGAAAAAAATAGACTAAGGGCCCCATTTCCTTAGAAACTATAAAGTTAAGATAAATGTGAAATGCTGTATTCAGAAACTCCTTATCTGTTATTAGACTAGTGTTACTTCTAACCAGAGGTCTACACCAAGACACATAATAATTAAGATGGCAAAAAAGTAGTGATAAAGAGAGAATTTTTAAAGCAGCAAGAGAAAACAGTCATATACAAGGGAAATTCCATAAGTCTATCAGCTGATTTTCAGCAGAAACCTTGTAGGCCAGAAGGGAGTGGCACGATACATTCAGGAAAAAACCTGCAACCAAGGTTATCATTCAGAATAGAAGGAGAGATTGTTTCCCCGACAAAAAAAAAAAAAAAAAAAAAAAAAAAAAAAGTTAAAGGAATTAATCACCACTAAATCAGCCTTCTGAGAAACATTACAGAGAATTCTTTGAGTGGAAAGAAAAGGCTATAATCAAGAATAAGAAATTTATGAAAGGAAAAAATTCACAGGTAAATGCAAATGTAAAATAAAAATAGTAGATTAATCACTTATAAAACCAGTATACAGGTTAAAGCACAAAAGGACTAAATCAATTATATCCACAAAAATCAGTTAAGGGATTCACAAGATAAAAGGATGTAAAAGTGTGACATCATATACATAAGATGGGGGAAGTAAAAATTTAGTGTTTTTAAGATGGGTCCAAACTCAAGCAACCACCAACTTAATATAAACTGCTATATGCATAAGATGTTATATATGAACCTAATGGTAATCACAAATCAGAAACGTATAGTAGATACCCAAAATGATAAAGAGAAAGGAATCCAAGCATAATAAGAAAGAAAGCCATCAAACCACAAAGGAAGAGGACAAGAGAAGAAAGGAACAGATAAGACCTATAAAAACAATTATAAAACAAGTAACAAAATGGCAATAAGTACATACCTATCAATAATTACTATAAATGTAAATGGACTAAACGCTCCAATCAAAAGACACTGGGTGACTGAATGGATAAAAAAGCAAGACCTATCTATATGCTGCCTGCAAGAAACTCACTTCAGACCTAAAGACACATACAGATTGAAAGTGAAGAGATGGAAAAACATTTACCATGCCAAAAGAAGCAAAAAGAAAGCTAGGGTAGCAATGCTTCTTATATCAGACAAAATAGACTTTAAAACAAAGACTGTAACAAAAGACAAAGAAGGATACCACATAATGACAAAGGTAATAACCAAAACAAAACAACGAAACCAAAAACTCCTTGTCTGAAACCCTGCACCTGGGTTGGAACTAAGTCTGCTTCTCTGTACTAAAGTGAATGCACATAGCTCTGATCTTGCAGGTAAGAGTGGTACATTCCATTTCCACTGATAGGATTTCAAACAGATAATTCATGACAATCTATAATATTAGAGAATAAAGTTTCTCAGCACTGGGTCCTTTTGTTATTTAACAAAAGTAGTTTTTCTATATTCAAAAAGGAAGAACAGATTGTCAGGAAAGGTTTTGTGGCTGAGACAGAGTAGGGGAAAGGTCATAATAAAGCAGATGGAATCTTAGATAGGCAGATTGATAATAATCTGCATAATAGGAAGTGAGACAGCCTGGAAAGCCGAAATCCACAACTCCACACTAAGCATTGACGCCAGACTCCTACAGCCATCTTTTAAATCATAGTATACAGCAAATTGTAAATTGACTGATTAGATTTTGTGCCTTTTACCTTTTCTACCAGGTATCTGGAGAAAAGAGAAATAAGCCTTAATTGACTCAAAGAGAAAAGAAAATTGGAACTTGGCAACCACTTAGCCCCTGAGAAATTGAGAATTTACCATAAAAGGAGGTTTCAAGGCTGTAAGCTAACAAAATGTCCCAAATATTATAAATAAATCACTCTGTACTGGCAAAATGCAGGCCTTAACAAAGTCTAGTAGTGTTTGTAGTGTAGTAATTTGAATCTCAATTGCAGCCAATTTGCTATTCAACTAGATGTGGTAAACATCCACAAACGTACCACTAAGCCTGAATATTTATTGGTCAATTTAGGGAAAAGGTGATTTCTTCAAACCCATGGGCCTCAGCCTGAGCCATTATGAAACACTTTCCTATTTGGATTGCTGCTTTCTGCATTTCTGTACAATAAATGATTCTGATTCATCACAAAGGAAGGTTACCATTAGGTAAAATAATCTTGGCTTTTAGATGCTAGGTAGTATATGATAAAAGCTGTGCATTTCAGATAATGTACATGTCAGAGTTTTAGGTAGTTTTTCCATTTAAAATAGCCAGTAGGGCTTTTCTAATCTAAAACTGCATTCTAGATGGAGCAAAACTGTGGCAGAACCAGTAGAGTGCTTGTGTATTATGGATACTCAATGGACATAACAAATGGTTTGCTTATGGGCTGAAAGGGGGGCATTAATGCAACTTTCAAAAGTTTACATTCAGAATAAATATATACACTAAGGAAACAACTCAGTAAAGTTAGTTAAGGAAGCCTATCAATAAGAATTCAGCCTCTGCCAAATAAGTTCTCAAAAATATTCCCTCATCGGTGTCATAAGTTTAAATCCTGATGCTCCAAGCAAACATTTTCATCCCTTATTAATTGCAAAACAAATAACTCTCCAGCAGTGAGTCACTCCTTCCTTTAGCTTCGAGACTTGTCGCAGAGATTGGTTTTTAATTATTCATGCCTATAGTTCAAGTTAGTTTAATTATCCACCTTTTCATCATAGCATCAGCGATCGCATGAAGACCCTGCAGCTCTGAAGTTCAGCTTTTACGAAGTGATCTCAGCTGGTCCCCGTGCACCCTCCGAGCTTAGAGCCTTGCAGAAGAGATGTTTGATCCCAGGGTGGTATGCCAGCCACATCGAGAGATGGCTTGTTTATTTCCCTCCCTTTCAGGTATTGAGCAATAAGAATTTCCATCATGTTACAATCTCATTAAGTTGATGACTTTGCCTCCAGGATAGAGGAAATTTTTACTCATTAAAACATTACTGTCTTTTACTCTTTAGTTGTAAATAATAAGACTGTGGCAAGGAATAATAGTTAGGCAGAGGTAGACACACTGTTTAATTTTCTTTCTAAAAGTATTTCAGGATAATTCTCCCTGCTGTATTTTCCAGTGCATACCCTTCCTGATTGTCAAGAGCTTCAAAAGCTTCATATCCCTGATTCTTATTCTGTGAATAAAGCTTGAGAACATCTTAACCAAACAAGGCAAATAATGTTTTTTTTAATTAAGTGTCATTATTTCCCTTTGAACCACCTTGCTGAATTTTTCATGAGCTTTGTGTTTTTCTTGCCTTCTTTGCTTCTCTTTTTTGCTAGACATCAACCTAGATTGCAAACTCAGCCCCTCCATTAGATGGCTTAAAGCAGTCCAGTCACATCAGACGTAGTGTATGCTTGTGTATCTAGGACTGTGCTGTCCAGTGTGATAGCTGCTGCCACATCTGGCTATTTAAATTTCTACTAAAAGTATATAAAATTAAAAATTTAGTTTCTCAATGATATTAGCCACATTTTAAATGCTCCATAGCTACCTTTTAGACACCACAGCTATAGAACAATGCCCATAGTCACAGAACATTCTAGGGAACAATGCCAGTCTAGACTGAATAGAAATATTGGAGAAGAGGTATGAGCAGAAGTTGCACTGCACTCTTTGTGGTCCTCCATTATGGTCACCTGTCATTCTATCTTCTGGGCCACACCCCTCCCTCATTAGAGTAACAAGCAAACTCTTCCCCTCAGTCAGTTGAAGAACTTCTGTCCACATTCAGGTTCTCTGGGAGTCTTGTCTTTTTCTCCAAATGGATTATCTAAGTATTTCTTAAAACTTTACAGTGCTACTCCTTTGAATGGACTCATGGAGAATGACATGTCCTCTGTGTCATTACACCTGGTCTTATTACAACTTTTCTTCTTTTCTACAGTGCTCCTTCCAATCTTGAATGATGTCATTGTTTTGCCTGTTGTTGGTGGGGTTTTCTTAAGATTTTTTTTAAGTAATCTCTATACCCAACATGGGGCTTGAACTCACAACCCCAAAATCAACAGTCATATGCTCAACTGACTGAGCCAACCAGGCACACCAGTTTTGCCTATTTTAAACTTGGTGTCCATTTGTGATGTGTAATCACATTTCTTAAGCTCATTTGGTCCCCTCAAATGGCTTTTTTGTTTTCATAGTATTTTGGGGACTTCTCAGATTACAAAACCTAAGTACACTTAATCAGTATGATTTATTTCTTATTCTAAGTCATTAATGAGATTGGTCTGGTTAAGTCTAACAACAATGTATGCAAATGCCCTCAGTAGAATGTCTCTCATTGACTAAATTCAGAGTGCACAAATTTTTAATTATACAGTTACACATCTATCTTCAGTGTGCATTGTCTTTTTTTTTTTTTAATTTCTCTGGTAATTTAGTTGCTAATTATTGATGGGCAACAGCTAAGGATGGATCCTGCTACAGTGATGGATGAAGTACAGAAATTTCTAGGAGTCTCTCCTCATTATAATTACTCAGAAGCTTTAACGTAAGTTTATATTCTAATTAACTTATTGAAGTTTCATTAGAGAACTGGTTTTTTAAAAGTTGCAGTTTGGTGATGCAACTATTATGTTGGCTTCTCCTTATGTAACTGATTATTTTCTGATTAGTTTGACATTAACTACTTGGGAATGAACTTTTCAGCAGTGTGGCAAAGAAATGTTCTAAATCCTCTGTTGATTTCTAACTATGAAAGATTTCCCCTAGAAGGAAAGCAAAGAAGCAAAATAATTGTAAATCTTAAAACCAAGAATTAACCCACAAAAGTGGCTACTTAAAAAAAGTCAGTAAGTGCTAAACCTGTTTAACAGACAATAGTGGGAACTCTTGCAAGCATGAAGAGGTGATTAACTGGATGGTTTATGAGCCCTGTCTTTTGTGCAATTTTCAAAAATAATGTCATGCAGCAAGAAATCACCCAGTAGGTGACTGAATAGGCAGAAAGAGATATGCTGTTATTACTCTTACACATACTTCCATGTTTTGCTTTTATGTCTTTACCCACTGTGTATCTGACCCTGTCACCTCTCCTTCGAAGGCCACAGCAATTACAGCTCTGGTTTGGTTTTCTTTTGCTGCTCTTTTCTGATTTCCTTAGGTAACTAACACCATCTGGGCCAGGACAAGCATAAGGCAAGAGAGGCATTAGTACTGTAAGAAGGCACTCGTTCTCAGGACCCCGCAAATACCTGACAGCGAGTGCCTCCTGAAATTTTGCCCCCTAGGTAGCTCTCTTACCTAACTCTGGACTCCACTTAGCATTTGAAATAAGACCTCCATCTTTCTTTGTTCATTATAATAGTCAGCAATAATATTCATGAGGGTTGTGTTTGTTCCTATTTCACGTGCTTAGAGCAACTGGAAGATAGAATTGAATGCGCCATGGACCTGACCTACACTGTAATACCTTTTTTTTAATTTTTAGACTCATAGACTGAGCCTTAAAGAAACTAAAAAAGACTGTTACGGAATTCTTCCATTGTATTTCTCAGTATAAAACTCACATCTATAGATCAACTGATTTTCTCTTTTCATTGTATACTTTATCTTACAGCAGGTTAGACATTGTGAGTGCCAGGATTCCTTTACCTTTCAGCATCCCTTACAATAAAGATTGGCAGAAAAACATCAAATACTGCTTATGTCTTGCAGAAATCATATGTAGAGACGTATGTAAAAAGGACATTTTGCTTTAGAGGACAAAGGAACTTGACTTTTGAGCTTCCTTCCCAAGAGCCATTTTCTTTTCTTATTACTATTAACCTTCTGACCTATGTGTTTTTATACTATGAGTACTATTAGAGCTTTGTGGAGCTTTAGTTCAAGTACTAACACAGACTCTACTAGCCTTAGGTATTTAACTTCCGGCTTGACCTTAAAGAAAGCTGAGTGATTTTAGTTTGCAGTTAGAAATTCAAGTCCACTTTCTGCTTTATATCTTTTTAAGTATCTCTTAGAAAAGAAAGCTTTTATTTTCTAAACAGTTTTCTATTTCAAGTTGGCTTATCTTTGGGTCTTTTTTATACAGCATATAGCAAAGCATTGTATTTCAGAAAAAAAGAAGTGAAGTATTCTATAAAGACATAATTTCTTTTTTTATGGAATGGTCCTTGACCTGCATGCTGTGTATTTGTCCCCTTTGCATCCAGCTCAGCAGCAAGCTTTTTATTCCCCTCTACTGCCTAGAAAAGGGAGTGTAAACCTAAGAGAAGTAATATCAGAGCAACATACTACATACAAAGAACTGTGGATCGCTTTGCACCTGGGATGTACCTGGCTAAAATTGCCCGTTATGTGATTCTCTAGCCTCCTATGGAGCTCAGTGGGTGAAGTAGCAAGATAAGATATGTGTAGTCTCTAAAACCATGGCTTCTCATCTTGCAGGGCTTTCCAAGCTCTTACCCTGCTGATGGAGATAATGTATAGCCATTCAGTTTCTTTCTATATTTTCTTGTCAATCATCAGTTGGCCTTACACATCTTATAAAAATCAGCAGTGTACCTGTTGTAGAATATTTGGAATTTCATGTCGTTGTCTTAGTCTGAATCATCCTTCACCAAGCCTTTTGCAGTTGTTCTGAATCCTGCCCCGATAACTTAATTACTCTTGGTAAAATAACTGTACTGATAGGTTTTTTTCTGTGGTGCTTTGGACATATTGAGGATCACTGGGGGTCAAACAAAATGTATGTTCTCAGGAATGTCATTTATTGCTTCATATTTTTTTCTGCTAGTGATAGTGAAGACTAGATCTTTGGTACTTAAAAAAATAATTAAAATCCTCTAAGAATGTACTGAACTGCAAGCAGATATGAATTCTCAACTAATCACATAAATCCAGTTTTTTGCACATAGTAGAATAAATGAATTAAACCAGGTCTACACAAAGACTTTACTGAACAGGCTTGGCATGAAAGAGTACTCCAATTTAGGCACTCTATAAACTGATTATCTTCAATATAAAAAAGTCCCTATTTCAAAATTATTTTCAAGAAAAATGTCAATCAGCTTCCATTGTCAAGAGTGTTATTTATTCCTTTCCACAATTGCTAACGAAAGTACTCAAGAGTTCCAAATTTCATAGACTCATTGGATAGTCTATGATGCCTTAAAATGACATAGTACTGTCATCATGAATTTTAAATGACGTACTGAATATGAAAAAAAATCTGATTTTCTTGGTCAGAATGGATGTGATTTAAATAAGCAGTTTAAGTTTTAAACAATATAAATAGGAACTTCTCATTCAGTTATGGTAATCAGCATTCTACAATTCTAGTTCAACAAAACCTTATGCCTAAATTGTAAATTGGATTGATATACTGACGTCATTTTAGCTTTCATGTAGTGTGTTACATAGTGTTTTAGAGCCAACTGATCATTTGAGAGAAAGCAGTAAAAATAATGTGTAGCATGGAATTTTGCTACTTTGTATAAAGTAAAATGAAAAGTATAATTTTTTTTATTTTTCCATGAATATATGCTCTAATAGTTCTACCTAGCCATCAAGGCTCATGACAAGAGGTTTCACCCTTAGAAATACTAGTTAAGGGGAGCCTGGGTGGCTCAGTAGGTGAGGCGTCTGATTTCGGCTCAGGTCTTGATCTCACAGCTGGTGGGTTCGAGCCCCACATCGGGCTCTGTGCTGACAGCTCAGAGCTGGAGACTGCTTCGGATTCTGTATCTCCCTCTCTCTCTCGGCCTCTTGCCTGCTCACACACTGTCTCTCTGTCTCTTAAAAATAAATAAATATTTACAAGAAAGAAAGAAAGAAAGAAAGAAAGAAAGAAAGAAAGAAAGACTAGTTAAATACCTGAACCTGACATCTTTATTTCTCAGTTAACCTGTCTGTAAACACAAATGAGACCAGATTGAGTTATATGAATTTTTAATATTAATTTACTGTAAAAACTTTAATAAATGGACAATAAGAATTTGAAGGCCAGGGTTTGGTTCTGTGGATGGGGCTTGACTAAGTCATAAAGAATTGAAGCTGCCTCAAAATTCAAGAAGCACTTCAATTGTTTCTTTTTTTTTCAATGTTTATTTATTTATTTTGAGAGACAGAGCATGAGCAGGGAAAGGGCAGAGAGAGAGAGAGAGAGAGAGAGAGAGAGAATTCCAATGTGGGGCGTGAGCTTATGAACTGTAAGATAATGACCTGAGCCGAATCAAGAGTCAGACACTTAATGGACTGAGCCACCCAGGGACCCCAAGAAGGACTTCAGTTGTTTCTAATACCATTTCCCTGGCAACCAAATTTATATTCACCAGGAGGTCTTTCCCATCCCATTTTAGATGACTCTTTGTAAAAATGTGCCCCATAAAAACTTTTTTTATAGCAAAAAAAAAAAAAAAAATAGTAGCCACAATAGGGGCGCCGGGGTCATGATCTTGCAGTTAGTTTGAGCCCCATGTTGGGCTCTGTGCAGATGGCTGGGAGCCTGGAGTCTGCTTCAGATTCTGTGACTCCCCCTCTCTCTGCCCCTCCCCCACTCGTGCTTTGTCTCTGTCTCTCAAAAAATAAATAAATGTTTAAAAAAAATTTTTTTTAAAGTAGCCATGATAGCCAAAATGTGTTGGTTCCCCAGACTACCCATGAAAGAGCATCTAGCAGTGGTAAGTAGTGAAAGAGAAGATAGTCTGCTCCAATTTCCTATGATGAATTTGTTTTTCAGAGTGTTCATAACTTTTCAAAATCAATATGCATGTATATGTTCTACATTTATATGTTTACATATATTGCTTCATACCAACACTAGGTGTGAGAGGTACTATTAGCTCCATTTTTCAGCTAAAAAAAAAAAAAAAAAAAAAAAAAAAAACGGGCACAGAAAGCTAAGCCAAAAGTCACTCAGCATATAAATTGAGGAGTCAGGACTGAAACTCAGCCAGTCCACTGGAGCCTGCACTTCCAATCTATTAAGCTCTTCGAGTTGGCACAAGAAGCTACAACTAGAGAAAAACAATATTATGAATTTTTATTAATGGATAGTACACCAACAGGAATTACTTTCTTTAAAAGACTGAAACCTTAAAATGAGCTTTTGAAGTTGTCTCAGGCTGTATTATAAAAGAATCCATCTTCAGATGCACAATCACTCTGCATAATAAATGTACAATCACAGTGATATGATTAAGTTAAAATCACACCGAAATACCACTAGAATGGTTATAATCCAAAAGGCAATACCAAATGTTAGCAAGAATGTAGAGAAACTAGAACCCTCATATACTGCTGATAATAGTGTATAATAATATGGCAACTTTGGAAGCGCAGTTTTGCAGTTCCTTAAAAGTTAAACAGAAGCTTACAAATAATCCAATTCTACTCTTAAGAGTCTACCCCAAGAGAAATGAAAACCTACATCCAACAAAGACTTGTTCACAGAAGCATTATTAATAATAGCCAAAAAATGGAACCAATCCAAATAGCCACCAACCAGTAAATGGATTAACAGAATTTGGCATATCCACACCAGGAAAAAAAAAAAATGGGGTGGAGGAAGATGCCCAGAAAAGACATATTAGAGACTGAAAGCAGATCAGTGCTAGCCTGGGGCTGGAGGTGACAGCAGGGATTGTCCCTGGTGGGCTCTAAGGGTTTTGGGGGAATTATAGAAATGTTCTAACACTAGACTGTGGTGATAGTTATACAGCTATATAAACTTGCTACAAATCACTTAATTGAACACTTAAGATAGGTGTTATGATAAGTAAATAAAACCTCGAAAACTGTTAAAATTAAAATGGGCGTCAGCAAAATCGTTCATTAAATCATAAAAGCATGTGTGTAGAGAGGAAATTGATTAAGATAAAAAAACTAACAAAAAATAACTTCTGTTTGTCCCATAACACCTACATGATGGTGTTTTGGTTTTGAGATTTACCTGCATTGTTTTCAGTTCACTATTCTCCCATGGAAATGTTACTTCAATTTAAAGGCATTTTAAACATGCTTGAACCTTCCTTCTAAGTATAATTTGAATATCCCCTAGGATTCACCTGTCCAAGGGTAAAATTAAGGCCACATTATCATTAATATAGGAATGTTGCCAGTTGGAGGCTGAATCATTGGAGAACTTTGATTGTCCCTACCTACATGTCTCTTCCAGTTATTTCTAGACATCACGGTGATATTTTATAGATATTTAAGAGCCAATCCATTCTTGTTTTACTCTAATTCAACAAAGTTTTATTGAATGACTACTATGTGCAAGACTCTGGGATACAATGACTAACAAAGTATCTCTGCCTCCAGGAACGGGTAACCATAGCGGTAAACAACACATAAAACTTATTTACCTCCTGAAATCCTTTAAAGAAGGGTCCTAGCCACGTCTAGTGCCTACACTTTAAAAAAGGATGCTTCTTGCTGTTCCATCAGATATCAGTGCTTGCAGTAACAGGATTAATCTCAAGGGGTTACTGTTGATATTCTAAACAGATGTAGGGAGATCTTTCTCCATTTTCTATCAAGCTTCTTCATGTGAGCTATGAAATTGCATTGTTGATGTCTTCAAACTCATAACGTCAACATCAATCCCTTCACCTGTAGCTCAAGTCACCTGGAAAATAAACATGATCTCCCTTCTGCCTTTCTCTTCCTTTCTTTTCCACTCCAGTACACATATGCCATTGCCTATGAACATATGCATACAGATGCCTGGGCTATGTGTCTGTCACACACACACACACACACACACACACACACACACACACACACACAGTTTTTTTTTTTTCTCAATAAAGCCAAGCATGACAGCCTGCTGCATAAGATGTAACCAATTAGCAGAGATAGAAGAAAAACCTATTTTTATTTTGATTCTTAATTATATTATGTGTGAAGTTCAGTGTGTCTTTTAAAAACAATGTTCTGTCATAAGGCATATGTATGTTCCAGACATGTATCTAGAGTTAGGTATATTATTAAAAAAAAAAAATAATGGTCTGGATTCTGAATTTTGATCACTTAAATACTTAAAATGAGTCAGAATTCAATTGTAGAAATTGTTAAGGACAAAATGTTTATGAAAAATACTATATCAATAACAGATTTCCAGAAATTTTGTTGTATTAGAATTTCCCAGCTTTCCAAGTGCCTGAGTGGCTCAGTCGGTTAGGCATCCGACTTTGGCTCAGGTCATGATCTCATGGTCTGTGAATTTGAGCCCCACTTTGGGCTCTGTGCTGACAGCTCAGAGCCTGGAGGCTGCTTCAGATTCTGTCTCCCTCTCTTTCTGCCCTTCCCCTGCTCACATTCTTTTTCAAAAAAATAAAGTAGAAATATTAAAAAAGTAGAACTTCCCAGTTTTCAAATGAATGAATCAATAAAAGAACTTTCCAGATTTCATGTACAGATTATTTAAGTAATAGTCTTTATTAATGCTTTTTTTTTCTTGTGCCTCTGAATATGGGACTACTTTATTCAGTTGTCTTACTGATTCAAACAAGAATATAAATAACATGAAGACATACCATGTTGTGTCCTGATCTCACACAATTGTGTCAGTAATGATGAGAAATAGGCTTTGCATAAGTGGGATGTGAATCATCCTTTAGTGTCTCTAATATCCAAACCAGTACAGAGGCAGAAATCTAGGTTTGCAATCTTTTCACAGGGCTATGTTATAAAAACTCTAGATTAGCTACATAAAGAGTACCTTCCAAATCACACCCATACACACACATACACAATCACAGTATAATTTGAAATCAGCTTTATTGATGTAAAATTCATATTTAATAAAATCTACCTATTTTAATGTACAGATTGATGAATTTTGACTTATGCGTATATTGTATACACGACCGCAGTCAACATATAGAACACTTCCATTAATCCAAAAAGTTTCCTCATGCTTCTTTGCAGTCAATCCTTTTCGCCTCACTCCTGGTCCACTAGCAACCAATGACCTACTTTCATTTAGCATAGTGCTTTTGAGATTCCTCCCTGTTGTTACATCTATCAGTAATTAGCTCTTTTTTTAGTCATTATTATTCCACTTTATGGATATAACACAATTTGTTCATCTTTTCACTAATTGATAGGCATAGGGTTGTTTCCATTTGTGGCTACAACAGACATTTGTGTACAGATCTTTGTATGGACACATATTTTCATTTCTCATGGGTAAACACCTTAAAATGGGGTTGGTGGGTCATATAGTAATTATATACTAAGATATATAACAAGCTTTCCAAAGTAGCTATAATATTTTAATTTCTACCAAAAAGGTATAGCAATTCTAGAGGTTCCACATCTTTGCCAACACTTCATATTAGTCTAGTGAGCATGTAGTGGTATTTCATTTGTGATTTTAATTGAATTTCCTTAATGACTAATTATGTTAAGCAATAATTCCATTTGTTTATTGGTCATTCACATATGTTTTTTTTTTGATGAAGTATCTGTTCCAATCTTTTACCCAATTTTTATTGGTATTATCATTTTTTGTTGAGTTGAATTATATATTCTGATACAAGTCCTTTATTATGTTTTACATATGTAGTCCAGTCCTATGTTTTACAAATACCTTTGTCCAATCCATGGTTTCTCTTTTAATTTTCTTAAGTGTTTTAGAAAAAAAAGTTTTTAGTTTTGATGTGTCCAAAATTATCATTATTCTTATTTTAGCATTCACCTTAAGAAATATTTGCCTAAAGGGGTGCCTGGGTGGCTCAGTCGGTTGAGCTTCCGACTTCACCTCAGGTCATGATCTCACAGTCTGTGAGTTTGAGCCCCACATCAGGCTCTGTGGTGCCGGCTCAGAGCCTGGAGCCTGCTTCGGATTCTGTGTCCCTCTCTCGCTCTGCTCCTCCCACACTCATGCTCTGTCTCTCTCTCTCTCAAGAATAAATAAAACATTAAAAAAAAAAAATCTTTGCCTAAATAAAGGTTACAAAGATTTTCTGTGTTTTGTTTTTTTAATGTTTATTTATTTTTAAGAGAGCGTGAGTGAGGGAAGGGCAGAGAGAGAGGGAGACACAGAACCTGAAGCAGGCTCCAGACTCTGAGCTGTCAGCACAGGGCCTGATGCAGGGCTCGAACTCATGAACCGTGAGATCATGACCTGAGCTGAATTAGGATGCTTAACCAACTGAACCACCCTGTGTTTTCCCTATGTGTCTTTCCTGTTTACTTTGAGAATTTTTATAGTTTTACCTCTTAAGTTTAGGTCTAGGATTGACTTCAAGTTAATTTTTTTATACAGTGTAAGTAAGTGTCAATATTCATATTTCCCATATAGATATCTAATTTTTCCAGATTAATTCATTTAAAACACTGTTCTTTCCCATCAAATTTACTTGAAACCTATTTTTTAAAATCAACTCATTGTAGATGTGTTGGTCTATTTCTGACCTTTATTTTGTTGAAGCTCTCTCTCTCCCTCTCTCTGCCCCTCCCATGCTCTCTCTCTCTCAAAATAAATTAACTTTAAAAAAAATAAAAAGTAAAAACATTTTGGTGAACTAAAACATAAGTTTAGTATGTTAACTAATTGGAATTAAAATAAAAACAAAAAATATATTAAAAATAATAAATAAAATATAAATTTAATATGCTACTATTATTTTGATTACAATTATGCCATGCAATCAACATTTATAGGTACAGTTACTTTAATACAGAGCTCATACCAAAATAAGAAAGTGCTCTGGAAGAAAATTAAATGGATTATAGCCAGAAAATGCTAAATTTAGTCACTCCATAGCACACCAAAACCCTTTCTTTTCTATTAGTCTGCAATTGTATGGTACGAGTACTATGTAAGTCCATAAATATGGATGAAACCTGACTTGTCATTTCTAAACCCTACACAGGAAAAGAACTGACTTGAAATTTATAAAACTTTTTCCTTCCAGAGGAATAAGGTAGGCTTATTAATTTCTATTAATAGGAGACCTTCTGCTGACAATTTTTCTATTAGGAATCTGGCAAACTCACAAATATGACAGATGGACTCAGAATTTAGAAGTACGCCAAAAGACTTTATGCAAAATGACTTAGTCAAAAAATATACCAGTTTCTCTGGTTATAGATTAAGATCCAAAAATATATTCATGTTTTTGGTCATTATGTCTTTGAAATTGCTTGCAAAATACTTTTTTGTGCTTTGTATTTTGAATTTTTTTTAGGTTTGATTCTCATAAAGGCTTCTGGTGTCAGTTATTGGAAGAAGGTAAAACAAAATGCCTTGGAAAAAGCAAAGGAAGAAAATACCCTCCAATGGATCCTGATGTAAGTACAGAGCTTATAAATACAAACTAAACAAGCAAACAATACGTAATATGTATTCTCTTATGAAAGTAGTTATAATAAAAATGTAACCCCTCTAAAAACTAAAAGTGATATTTGTATTTCAATGTATCCAGGTTGCTTCTTTTGATTTTTCCAGTGATATATTACCTGTCATGCAAGAATAAAGGAAAACAACAGAAGTTTCTATTTTGAAGTAGAATAAAGAAGGCACCATCTCATGACAAAAAGTATGATACATTCACAAAAATTTTAGCACTAAATATGTTAACTGAAACCAAGACAGGAAATACATCAACTGGAAATTGAAAGTAGGACCAAAAGATTTCTACTTTTTTCCCACTAAGTTACTCTATAGTAGTAAGTGTGGCCTGCATAATATTTCTTTGGTGGTTTTCTTTGGTTGATTTTAAAATTTACCTTTGGAGTACTATGAGAAAAATCCTTACACATTAATAGGAACTAAAGGGCAATTTCTATGATATTTAAAGAATCTAATATAAAATATATCATTTTCATTTATGTCAAAGCTATTTATTATATTTATTAAAACTAAAATGCTTAAAAGACACTGTAGAACATCTTTCGTAGCATTTTATTTTACTCCTATCATACACAGACATACTGAGACATAATATTAGATTTTGTGGTAAAGAAAGATAAGAAAAGCCAAACTTTTAGGATATCAATACTTCTATACCTCTCAACAAGGTTTCTGTGTAATAAATTCTGGACTGTTTTTAACTCAGACACTTCTAACACCAAATGTGTAGAGTTTCATACCAAGCAATGATACAAATTTATGCAATACAAATAGGTACCCTACAATTTAACTCAATTGTGATTCTAATTACCCCAAATTAGTGTAGACACCACAGGTAAACGGCCTACTACCATAAGACTGCCCTCCCTTCAGGCTCCAATAGCAAGTAATGGGTTTCCAGGTTACTGACTTGTGTCCAAAGTGGCCACAAATCAAAGGCTGTCATGACCCCTTCCTCAGGTTTTATAATTTGCCATAACCATTCACAGAACCCAGGAAAACACTTTTACTTTCTATTCTTATAAAGGATATAAATGAGTAGCCAGATGAAAAAGTGCATAGAACAAGGTCCAGAAGGGTCGTAAACACAGGAGCTTCTCTCTGTGGAGTTTGGGGTGTGCCACTCTCCCAGCACATGGGTGCCTTTACCAATCCTGACATTCTCAAAAGTCCTTCATTGAAGGTTTTTATGGAGCTTCCATTTATGGAGGCACAATTGATTAAATCACTGGCCATTAGTAATTAACTCGATCCACAGTCCCTTTTCCTTGTTTGGAGGTCAGAGGGGAGCGCTGAGTTCCAACCCTCTAAGCATGTGTTTGGTTCCTCTAGGAACCATCCCCCTTCTGAAGTCACCTCATTAGCATAAACTTAGGTACGGTTGAAAAGGGCTTATTATGAATAACAAAAGACACTCCTCTCAGCCCTATTACTCAGGAAATTGCAAGGGTTTTAGGAGCTCTGTGCCAGGAACCAGAGATGGAAACCCAACACATATATTTCTTATATCACAGTATCATGTATATACTGGGTTTATTTGAAGGAGTAGAAGTGGTTGATTTTATGCAAATAATGACCAGAGGAAAGGGAAGAGTAAGAAGGCTTCACAGAGATCACGGAAACACAAATGTGTAGAACGGATGAGAGCAGGCAGTACCGTCACCACACTGCTTCTCTTCCTATTACAGAAAAATGTCAGTACCCAACTGTCACCAAAACATCATAGAAGACATTTAATCCAGGTAAATTAAGAAAGCTGTTGGCCTCCTTCTACTTGTACTTGGTTTGTGAAAATACAGTGTAGAAAAAGAATAAAAACTGACATTCTAAATTAATACCACTAAAATCTATTCTCTCTCCAAATCAAAAGCATGTAATAGACTCTTTAATAATAGGCAAATAAAATACCTGATCTTGAATGTATTATATGATTCCTTTTTATTACGGTTTTATATTATATAAGTATATATTATAATCTCCTCATGAGTTTGCATGAAATAGTCAGATTATATTGAGATACATTAGCATATCTCTTATCTGTGATTTTACCATCTAAAAAATTCCCCCTTATGAATGACTGTCAGATAACAACGTATGTTCAATAAGTCTTGTGTACGACAAAGTTCTGTTCTGGTAACTTTTGGCCTGAATATATTAGACTCCAAAATAGAACATATTGTATTTTGCAAATCTCATAACATTTATCTTGCCACAATGAGGGAGCAGAGCAACAAGAGGAAAGAGTTACTTGATTAAGGTGACAGGATTATGGGGACACACATACACACATAATAGGGCACAGGACTAGGGTTATCTACATAGGCAGCACTGACAGAGGCAGCCAGGGTTAAAAATGATGCCCCAAAGGCCAATAAGTTGAAGTGAGGTTGAGATATCCTCAGGTTATCAGACGTTCAATCCAAACTCCAAAGGGATGGAGAGTAGAAATGGATCCTAGGAGATTCAGTTCCAGAGTTAGTTAAGATGTTGGACAATCACTTACTCTGTGGAAATTTTAGGGAGCAGGCTGGCAGGAACTGGGTAGCCCTAGGCTGCTGTTTTTCCAAGCAGGACTTCATTCATAAAGAGAAATAGCACAAAGTGGGCCATTAAGAGAGAACATAATGGGGAAGTTCAGAAACTCAAACTCTGCACAAAGACCTAGGGCTCATCCCTAGATTCCAGGTCTGGCTGGCAGCAGAGGAGGCACAGAATGATCAGGTTCCCAGAGGTAGATATCTGGGAAATATAATTTATCTTTACCTTTTTCATTTTTTTTTCTTTTACATTAATTTATTTATTTTGATAAAAAGAGAGCATGAGTGGGGGAGGGGCAGAAAGAGAGAAGGAGAGAGAGAGAGAGGGAAAGAGAGAATCCCAAGCACGCTCCACACTGTCAGTGCAGGCTCCGTGCAAGGGGCTTGATCTCATGGACCATGAGATCATGACTTGAGCCAAGACCAAGAGTCAGACGCTTAACCAACTGAGCCACTCAAAAGCCTCTAGCTCTACCTTTTTCTTTTGCCTGAATATGCCAGCTGGGCCTGCCTGTTGGTGGTTTTAAAGCCAATGACTGAGGAAAAACAAGAGCAGAAATGAGACAGAGTGACACTTAAATCACACAGTGGTTTGGATTCTCCTTTGATCACAGTAATGGTTAGAATATAGCACAAATATTCTATTTAATTCCAATGAGCATGATTCCCATAAAAATTACGCTTACTTTGAAATTACTAATACAAAATGAGGCTTTTTTTCTATAACATTTAAAATGGAGTACCAGATATGACATTTTAAAAGATAGCACAAGGAGTTAAATAAAAACTTTTTAAAGGTTCAGCTCAACCAAAAATCCCAGAATAGTACAAAGCCAGGAGGTACAGATACAGCTGCAGAAATCCTCCCTTTTACAACATTCCTAACAACAGGGGCGCCTGGGTGGCTCAGTCTGACTTCAGCTCAGGTCATGATCTCACAGTCTGTGGGTTTGAGCCCATCATCAGGTTCTGTGCTGACAGCTCTGAGCTTGGAGCCTGCTTTGGATTCTGTGTCTCTCTCTCTGCCCCTCCCCCCACTCATGCTCTGTCTCTCTCTCCCTCAAAACTAAACATTAAAAAAAATTAAAATTAAAAAAACATTCCTAACAACAGTAATCCAACCTATTTATGAACCCCGTGAAATGCCATATATAGCATAGCCCTTTTCATTTTTGGCAGTTTCAATTACTAAAATATTTTTTCTTTGTTGAAGCAAAATCTGTCCCCCACTAAGTCAGGATAGTTTGCAAGGCATTCTTTTCCTTCCTTGGGTGAAATCATTCAAATATAGAAGTTTACCTGGTTTACCTACTGCATTTATTTATTTATTTATTTATTTATTTATTATTTTTTTTTTTTTGACAGACAGAGAGAGAACAGGAGAGGGGCAGAGGAAGAAGGACTGAGGGAGAGAGAGATCTTAAGAAGCCTCTCCTCCCTAGCACAGAGCCTGACATGGGGTTTGATCTCATGACCCATGATGTTGAGATCATAACCTGAGCTGAAATTAAGAGTTGGTCACTTAACTGACTGAGCTACCCAGGTTCTCGTACCTACTGCATTTTTAAGCTTACTTTTAAGCTTTATATGCCTTAAAACATCTTTTAAGACAGTATTATGGGAGTGCCTGGGTGGCTCAGTTGGTTAGGTGACCAACTCTTGATTTTGGCTCAGGTCATGATCTCATGGTTCATGAGTTCAAGCCCTGTGACAGGCTCTGTGCTAACAACACGTAGCCTGCTTGGGATTCTTTCCCTCTCTCTCTCTGTCCCTCCCCCACTCTTGCTCTTTCTCTCTCTCTCATGATAAATAAACATTAAAAAAAAAAAAACCAGGATTGTGTACCTTCCAAATCTAAATGCAAATTAATGATGACAAAGGAGTATTTTATATTATGGATGTACCAAACTAACATTCTCCAAAGCTAGGATGATTTTAATAGAGCATAATATTAAACCCAATCAATTGTTACAGCTATTTTTCAAGCAACACGATTGAGTTAACATTTAATTCTGCACAAAGAAATCACATGCTTAATACAAAAGCTCTTTCCCTCGTAAAAACAGTGGATGTATGGGGCACGCTCTCTCTCTCTTAAAACTGAATAAACGTTAAAAAAAAAAGTGTATGTATGTAGAGTGTCTATTTTGAGGAAGAGAGTCACTGTGTTTATGTTGTGCTAAATAAATAGCCCACATTCTTAATATAAATTTCAATCCGGGTATGGTATCCTTGATGCAGATTTAAACATCATCAAAATATATGAAGTATGCTTTAATCAACAAAGTGAAATGTACTTTTATGTCCCACCAGAGCAGAGCATTTCTATCAAGCTACTACAGAGATCACAACGTGGAACTCTCAAAGCTACTGCACAGACTGGGGCAGCCTCTGCCATCCTGGCTCAGACAGGAGCTGCAGAAAGTGAGATAGCACTGAGAAAACTCCTTGAGAATCCATCTTCTATGTGACATTCACCTTTCCCAAAGCTTCCAGAAGCTACCAAAAGGCTGTTTAAAAATATACCTCTTCAAATGAGAAAAAAGAACAAAGTTCCTTCCATGTGCTGGCATGTGGATGATTGGGGGGGGGGGGGGGTGGAAAAAGAAAAGAAAAAATATCTGTTATGAGCCTTGAGGCCTATGGCCTTTCTCTTAATCCATATCTGAGCCTGTGGGATTATTGTAGACTACTGTGCACACATGTGGAAGTCAACTGCAACCAATATAAGTATCAAACACAAATGCAGAATTGTCCATTTCATAGTAATATTTACTGTTTTATATATCAACTAAGATTGTGTCTCTGTAGGTTTTTAGAACACTGTTTGCCTGTATGATGTTTTCTTATTCTTTGATTCTATAAAGTGTCCTACAAAACAAGAAGCAAAAGAAACATCACAATGTAGCATAAAATGCCAAAGGCATAATACCCATGAAAAATGCTTGCCAAGATATAAATCCACTGAATATTTAGAAAGAATTGTAAATGACCATTTGTGCTAGATCAGAGAGTGGAAAGGTTATGTATGAGGTTTATGTGCATCAAAATAAAAAGATAAGTGCTACAGCAAAACAAAAGTGATTTTTCATACACATACTCTAGTGCATTTATGTAAAAATTAATGACTCCTCTGTCATAATGTAATTGTTATACTGAGATACATTGTAAAGCCATTGAGAGGTGTATGGAAACACACTGAGTATACCAAAACAGTAAATAATAATGCAAAGTGTACTCACTGAATCCTCTAAAAGGGAGAAATTATAGGGGTCTCAAGATATATTATTGACAATTTAAATCCTCTTTTTGTGAGCTACAAATCTACTCCAATAGTCCTCACTGGTTCTGCAGAAATACTTGCACAGAATGTGAGGGATGTGTCATCTACAGAAACATACTGACTTTTAAAAGTGAATAACTTTTTTAAAAATTTTCCCCAGAACAAAATCTATTAAAGGAAAACTAAGCACAGTGTCTCTAGATGATATGTTATTTATTTACTTTTAAATTATAGAAAAACTACATTTTTCCAGAGAGTTTAAAATGAAATTGTGATACAGAGATTTGTAACAAAAAAAAACCCCACTGACATATGATTTATAATCTGATATTTCCCATGATACTTTCAATATAAGGCAGAAAAAAAGCAGGGCTAAGTCCCTTTTTTTTTTTTTTAATGTTTTTATTTATTTTTGAGACAAAGAGAGACAGAGCATGAGCAGGGGAGGGGCACAGAGAGAGGGAGACACAGAATCCGAAGCAGGCTCCAGGCTCTGAGCTGCCAGCACAGAGCCCGACGTGGGGCTTGAACCCACAGACCGTGAGATCATGACCTGAGCTGAAGTCGGACGCCTAACCGACTGAGCCACCCAGGCGCCCCCTAAGTCCCATTTTTTAAAGAATATTTGGTGTATTCTCTTGTGGAGGACAATAAAACATAGTTAAATTTATGGATTATCTACTAAATTAAATAGAGGAGGTACAACGATGAGGTAGACACGATTCCTAAAATATATTTACGCTTAAGTTTTAAATGATCATATGAGTAATCTTAAAAAAAAAAGAATCATACTTATTGACCTCTCCTTATATTTACTTAATTTTTAAATTCACTATACACATAAAAAAAATCAAGTAGTACATAAATTCCCTGCTATGAGTATGTAAGCTTTTAAAAATATTATGAAAAGTATGATCAGAAGAAAAAAAAAAAAGATACCCAAGGAAAAGCTACAACCCAAATATTTTCCTTGTCGTTACAATGTGTAAAACTAAACTCTATCAATTATTTGCTAATTAAAAACAAATTTTGAGATCCTTCCACTTACTACAAATTTGTTAAATTACATTATAATTATTAATTAAATATTTTTTAAAAGTTTTATGTACCCAAATGATACACTCATTTTTTAACAAACAAGCTAATAGCCAAAAGAAATGGAAAAAGAACAAGTTTTTAAGGCCCCTACAGTAAAAGAAAATCAGAGTCATTTGGACAAATATGGTAAACAGTCTCCATGCTTACTGCTGCCTTTCTTAAAGCAGCACTTGCCCAGCATGGTAGGGAAATGAGTGTAGTCTTTCAACTCCACTAATTTAAGAAAATTGGCTTGAGAGGGGCATGTGTGGTGAGAACAGGCCCCAGCAGTTACATATGGTATCGTGCTTTTATTTTGACAACATTTCTACTTGATAAAAACAGAAAAAGAAAAACTGATACATTTATGTTTTAATGATGAGATGTGCATTTAAATTTCTAAACAAAGCTGCTAATGGCATGATTTTATCTAGGTAAACTGAGTTAGCTCTACAGCCCACCCTTTAAGATAAATGTTAAAAAAAAAAACCCTACTGGATGCTTGTATAATGAAAGAAAAAGGAAGAGGTCATACCAAAATTGACTCATTCACAGTACAGGTATTATGCTGTCCATAGAAGCAAACTTTTGAAAGAATTCTTGACCACTCAATGTATCTTGGAGGCAACATCAAATTCTAGAGGACATACATACTTTCTACATTATATACTCTGGCTGATTATTACACTATTCTAAAAGTAACAAATACATACGAGAAAAGAATGAGAGCTAATGTGATTTAAAACTAGCTTTGTATAGAATTCCTTTTTCATTGCTTAAAATTGGAACTTCCTTAGGAAGAAATGAAATGGTTATTTTAATGTTTATAGCTATGATATTCTTGTCATTCACATTGAATGAAAATTACTGGAAACATTTTTTCTCTGAGTTTTTTAAAATAAAAAACCTGGATATAATTCTGATAGTAGCATGGTACCTCATATATACAACAATAAACTGTGATAAGAAAATGAGGAGCTTGGGCCTGATGATTTTAGGTAATAATTACATATTTGATTGTTTGTGTTTGCCTGGGACAGAGTGGGAAGTGGTTATAAAACACAGGTGCTACCAATATAACTCAAAATGGACAGATGCATAAGAAACCTCCAATTAGGAAATAAGTTTACTTTTAATAATATAACCTCCCACAGATCCTTCTAATCAATATTAGTGATTTTTTTTTTAGTTCTAATAGAAATAAAGCAACTCCTAGAGACACCCATGGGATCCTAGAGTAAGGGAATAAGAGAAACACACATGAGAACCTGAATGATTACAACATTTTTTACTCCCAGCACTCTGGTCTGCTTCCGACAAATGGACTCCTTTCTTTAGAGCTTTAAAAGGTGTTAGCTAGTCTCTCTTTTATTAAAAATCTGTCAAAACAAACAATGTCTGGAAAGAAAGAAAGAAAGAAAGAAAGAAAGAAAGAAAGAAAGAAAGAAAGGAAGGAAGGAAAGGAGGGAGGGAGAAAGTGGAGGGAGTTAACCACATTTTCCACAAACATTTTCTTCTCTATTCCAGCCCTTTCTTTTCTAGATATCAGATTTTCTCATGTTGTAACTCACCCTATCACCCCCATCTACATACACCAATTGATTTCTGCATAGGTTTGTCTCCCACACACATAGTTCTCCAGTCTGGAATACATCTGACCTCCCTATTTTCTGTCTATATGTGTCATCCTATGTTCCATCTACTCCAGGCCCAACTAGTGACTGGTTAATAAACCAACCCCATCAACATTAGTGGCTTATAATGAATTATAACTTTATGCTTTCCAGAAATATCAGTACTATAATTTCTAAGAGATATGTTTTAACCTGAAGTCTCTAACTAATGGGGAAGCACTGAACTGCTCAAATATTTTGGTACAAAGGAATTTCTCCAATTTCAAATTACACTCTATAGCTGACTTCTATTTTGCGCAAGTGGCTCTGCTTGGTTACCACCTACAACATAGCTGCTGCCTTCTACCTGCCCACCACACCCTGAGCACACACACCGATCCCCAAATAGTTGGCAGTCATGGAAAGAACAATGACTACCTGTGGTGGATAATCCTTAAGAAATTATTTGTATTGGCTAGAAATGTTTACCTTCTCTTCACTTACTTTACCTAAGAGAAGACTAAATTTCAAAAGATCAAGCCATGTCTTGGTCAAGCCAACATTTATTCCATTCCCAAGAATACCAAGACTCTACTTTCAGTATACCACTCACCTGTGGCCAAGGGTACCTAACAGAATTTGGGGGCCACTTCCCACCACCCAGTGCTACCACTAGTTCTTGCCATTTATTGTCCTCAATTTGTTGTCTATAAGAGTTCTCTATACATTCACTGCTGTTAAGAAATGTCACAAAGAATTTATTCAGTTATGTATTACTATATGAAATTTATTTTTTAACCTCTCCTTGCACCTTCATCCATTGATCCTATATGAATCTTAATCTTTGAGTTTCTATAATTTCTCAGCCTATTCCTAAAAATTATAAATACAAAGACAGTAAATCACTAAAATTGGAACCCACTATATTTTCACCATCTCCTTTGGAGCATCTCTTAGAGAAAGTGATTTTGACTAGTGTCAATAAGTATTTAAGAAAGACATTTACTTGCCAGATTTAGGCAAATATTCTATTTGCCCAGCAAACCCTTTCAAGGAAATAAAAGCAAATTTCACAAATTCATTACTCGCAGCATAAAGTCTCCAAGATATTGTTAGGAAGAATGTATTTACCCACATTTTATCATACAGAAACTGAATTAAACTTAATGAAATGTGAAACATTTCCAAAACACACAGGATCTGTGACAAACCTTACATAAAACTGTCTACATCAAGCTGCTTCTTGGTTAGGAGGGAATAAATTAAGTACAGGAAATGCCTGCTGTCTACATATCTGATGCCAAAATGCTCTATTTCAAATCAATAACAAACGGATACCAGATCTTGCTTTTAAATATTATGCATAATTTATACAGTTGCACCAGAGAAGATTGGTCTTCTTTTCTCTATTTGGTAAATAATATTCTGAATCTTAGTTTTTTTTTTATTTCAACCACTTTAAACAGAAATGGAATTTCAAAACGTTGTATATTTCTAGGGCTCTAATGTATCTTTTTAGAACTTAATTAATGTCCTTCAAAGCAAACAAAACTTTTAAAGGTGCACAAAACATACCATCAGAAAATAAAGTCTACATCATATGAAAATGAATGTTCACA